CAAAAAGTGGGGGTCTGTTGATAGACGCACCTTCAGCAAAAGTTTGATTTTGTCCGGCCATTTTCGAAAATTTGAATGACTATCAAAGCAAGCTCTGATACCACTTGTTAGAATCGCGCAGCGGAATGTTCGCGTGGTCGGACAAAAACCAAGAGGGGGGGTGAATTGGTTTCTTAATAAAAATTAGGTTTTCAAAATTTTCCCCAAATTTTACCGATTAAAAACTGCGTAATTGTAAATAGAGAAGAGTAGAGAAGATTACACAGTAGGTTTATACTGGTTCGGATCAAAAGACCCTACGTCCAGTTGCTAATCACTCAAAAGAGGATTAACGCTGTCACTAAGAACAAATTGTTACAAAACAAATTACAAATCAAAGAGATAAAGTAAAGACAACACCTCTCTTGAAATCCACAAGAGATGAAGAACAGCTTTCCCCGGAGACGGCACAGCACACAATCCACTAAGAACTCCACTTAGTGATTCTTATCGCTTCTAGCCCACACCAGGTTCCAAAAGCCCCCTTTCCTTGCAACAAACAGTTCTCTGACACTCACAGCACTTAACTTTTGTATGGAAAGAGTTGTTCTTTATTTCTGAGTGCCAAAGCAGAGTTTAAGTAGGGAAATTAGGGTTTAGGAATTGGGGATTTCGAAACTAGGGTTCTTGGTAATTGGGTTTTCAAAATAGGGTTAATTTGAAATTTAAAATGAAAAATAGACTGAAATAATCGATTAAATGGAGTTATAATCGATTAAAACAGAGCCAAATACGACAGAACCCAAACCTCTCTGGATTAATCGATTATTTGGTGAAATAATCGATTATCTGTACGGAACAGTACAAAATAATCGATTATTTTGTTGTTTAATCGATTAAAACAGTGACTTTGTATAGAAAGTGGTTTTCTCACTGTTTTAATCGATTATTTACCTATATAATCGATTAAAGCCGAGCCTGCATGATAAATTTGAGCATTTTGAAGCTTCTAAGTTACAGACTATGTACCGGCTATCTTAGATTCTATAATTACAGACTCAATCAAACTAAAACAGAGTTATTACAATACAGAAATCATCAATCTTCAATCTTCAATACTCTAAGTCTTTAAGCTCTTGGATCATCATCAAAATCAACATTCTTCATGATCATTATTTGCAACATCAAGTCCTTGAATGTTCAACATTGGGAACTTGTCTCATTACCAGAAGGTATGAAACCCATTCGTTGCAAGTAGATATTTAAGACCAAACGAGATTCTAAAGGTAATGTGGAAAGGTATAAGGTTCGTCTGATAGCTAAGGGCTATATCATAAAGGAAGGGATTAACTTTAAAGTCTCTTTCTCTCCAGTTTCATCGAAAGACTCTTTTAGGACAATCATAGCTCTTGTAGCACATTATGATTTGGAGCTTCATCAAATGGATGTCAAGACGGTGTTTCTCAATGGCAACATTGATAAGACAATTTATATGGTACAACCAGAAAATTTTGTGTAGGGAGATCCAAAGAATATGGTTTGCAAACTGACAAAATCCATTTATGGACTAAAACAAGCATATCGTCAATAGTACTACAAATTTCATCAAGTAATTCTCTCATTTTGCTTCGAGATGAATATTGTTGATGATTGTGTGTATCACAAGTTTAAAGGGGGACAAGTTTAGTCTCAATCAGTGCCCAAAGGGGAATTTGGAAATTGAGGAAATGCAAAAGATTCCACATGCATCAGCTGTAGGGAGTTTGATATATACCCAAGTATGTACATGTCCAGACATAACATACATAGTTGGGATTCTAGGCAGATATTTAAGTAATCCAGGAATAGACCATTGGAAAGCAGCAAAAAGGGTTCATGAGATATTTAAAGAGAACAAAAGATTATATGCTCACATACAGGAGGTCAGACCAGTTTGAGATCGTTGGATTTTCTGACTTGGACTTTGTAGGATGTCAAGATAGTTTGAAATCCACTTTAGGTTGCATTTTCATATTGTCAGGTGGTGCGGTTTCTTGGCGCAGTGTCAAACAAACACTTACAGCTTCATCCACTATGACAGCAAAATTTGTAGCATGCTATGAGACATTAAATCATGGAATATGCTGAAAAATTTTGTCACAGGGCTGTAAATTGCGAAAGACATTAAAAAACCACTTAAGTTATATTATGACAAATCAGTTGTATTGTTAAGGAAAGAGTACAGAGTGGACAAATTTCCATAGAACAATTAGGGACAACCTCCATGATAACAGATCCTCTAACTAAAGGACTTCCGCCCAAGGTCTTTCATGAGCATGTTGCTCACATGAGTGTTTTCCAGTTTGAGGAATTTGTGGTTTAGTGGGAGTTAGTCACTTTCATATATTTTATGTTCTATGTTTAATTTCATGTATATATACATTAATTATTTTTTTTTGGACGTATTTGGTTATCTATAGATATGCAGTTTTTCGTTCATTCATTACACTTTGTACATTATTATATCGATCTCGATAAGTTAAAGTTTGGACCAGTTGAAAATAGACGTGTACAGATCACCTTCACGTAATTTTCATGCTACACATTTCATGATGAATCCATGTCATTTGGTTATGTCAGGATGAGTAATCATTGTTGGTTTTAGTTGTGATGATGAAATGAAAAGCTAGTTTGGTTCTATAGCCTGATATGATTAATGGACAGGACTTTTGGAGTATATTAAAGGAATATAATGACAATTTTGAGCTCATAAAGTCTAATACATTTGTAAGGTTGTAAGGACATATATATTTGTGACCAGTGGGAGATTGTTGGCAGAATTTGGGTCATATATATATATATATATATGATACATAATTTAAATGTGTTAGGACCATTATTTATTAAGTCAAATAATAAAGTGATCTGACTAAATTAAAAAGTTTGCCTAAAGGCATATGTCATGAAAATAAAATTGTGTAGAGACCATAGAACACTTTCTAATTTGATGAGGGACTAAATTAGAAATACTAAAACTTAAGTAATTAACCTAATTCTGATTATTTTAAGGGACCATGGTCCCCTTCTGGGAGCACGTAGACAGAACATAAGTTTCACTCCCGTTCCTTTCTTTCTATCCCCATCAAGAGAGAAAATCAAGAGGAAAATACATGTGCTCTTCAGGTGGAAGACCATAAAATCAATATAATGCTCTACAAAGACATCATCATTATGACTAATTTCGCATTCAGTTTATAGCATGTTTATCAGTATGAGATTACGTTTATGTTTGATCATTAGAATCAAAATCAGGATTATTATTATAATTATTAGTTTTCTAACATAATAGATTCATGACAAATCATAGTTAAGAGTTAATGAGTATTATTAAGAAAATTTTATTAAAGGAACTTTAGATGTTACATGATGTTTCAAATAATCATAACTAGTTGTTAGAAGTTATATATGTTCATATTTTACAAGTGATATTGACGTGTTTAAGACAGTAAATTAGTTATATAAGTACTTTATTTACAAAATCTTAATAACTTATTCACTAATTTGCTAAGTTAAAATCTATAATAAAAGAAAGTTAAAAGTTTGATCTAAAATATATTTTATTTCATTTGTATACTTTAGAATATAGTTTTAGATTAAACCCATTCATAATTTTGATCCGTTCGATGGACGGATGTGGAGCACCCTACCATTAACAAAAAGAGGTAGCAGCGTTAGAGAGGAAGGTATATATGTTTGAGGAAATGCTTATTTTGAAATATATAAGTCCCATTTTTATAGAGAGGAGTGTTCGGAGAAAATGTTATATATGCAATTGGAAAGAAAAGGTTTGGATTGGAGTGGATATAGGAACAGATGAATATATAATATAGCAGTAGGGAGACATTGTCTCTGTTCAGAAGGAGCCTAGGGTTGGGACCACGAACTGAAGTTGCTAAACCATAGCCATTCCTTTCTTTCTATTCTTTTCTTTACAACAAAATTGGATTCAGAGTTGCGATTTTGGAACAAGCAAAAGCTCAATTGTTCTTTTGGTTCAAGTGTTTTTGGTCGTTTTAGTTTATTTTGGGAAAAAAAAATCATCTACTTTTTTTTCACTTTAAGGAGAGAGATTTTTTAAAAATATATTCTTCAAAAATAATTTCAACCAGACACGTAGTAACATTATATTAATCTTTTGTTTTTTGGAATTGATAAATAGAAAATATTTATTAAAAAATACCTTCTTAAATTATTCTTTTGTCGTGTTAAGAGTACCTAAACTCATTGTGTGAGATAAAGTGTCTAATCACAGTTAAATATGGCGATCCAATTTCTTTGAGCATTATAATATGGTAAGTGATTATTTTATTTTTACGTTACAGGGATGTTGAAATTAAAGTTAAAATATTCAATTTTTACTAAAATAAAAAAAATCACGTGTCTTTTGAAAATTTGACCAGTGAAACATATAGACTAAATTGACTAGAAAAAATAACATAAAAAAAGACCATAAAACAACATAGAATACGTGCATGTGAAGCTTTGTATGGTTATAGAATAGACTAAAAAGAGCCAATAAGCAATATTTTAGCCCAAAAAACATAGGATAGATCCGAAAACAGAAATCTTAAAAACCAACAATACACTAATAAAACAAAACATGGACACCTTTATTTTTAAACACAAATAATATATTTTCATACATCTCTTTTTCTATCTTATTATATTATTTGTAATATTTATATTTTTCCTCTCACTAAATATTTTTCATCTGCTTTTAGTTGTCAGCAAAAAGAATTATTTCAGTATCTCATGACTCAGCGCCAAACAAAACGGTGACAGTAATTAAGGCAGCAACATACGCCAGGTTGACAAAGGATATGTCAAGTTATATAAAATAATAATAATATTAAAAAAAGAAGAATAAAGAGACACCAATCTGATTACAGTAAACTGAAAGCCATAAACCAATTTAAGTAAAGGACCATGGGAATTCAAAGTTGAAGGTTGGAAGTTTAAGCCAATAAGATAAAACAACTCTCTTAAGAACCTTGTCCAGAAGTAGTAAAAAAATCGAAAAAGGGTTGGTTTAGTGGAGAAGTATCATCTTCGTTGATATCAGGAGAAGGCGTAGAAGGTGTATCAGTGGAGCTATCAGCAGAAACTGAAGCCAGAGAAGACACCTGGTCTGTTGTTTTCCCTTCCAAAATACCAGTTGGGTGCAGAGGAAAGAGATCCAACGTTTCTTGGTTACTGTAGCTGAAGTTACAATCCGAGATTCTCTGTTGCATGCCATCGCATACAAGCGGGCCATTGCTGATCGTGTTTGACATGCCTGTGGGCACAAATATCTCAGATGGGCTCCTCCTAAAACCTACGGGTACAAGCACCTTTGGATGTGGGGGATAAAACCCAACTTCATTCTGTGCCTGAGGTATGCAATATGGGGGGCACAGGCCTGAAAACCAAAAACACCCTCTATTACCAATGTTATATATATAATATAATAAAAAGCTAATGAGAAAGTCATGTAACAGTTTGAATTTTGAATAACAACAATTATATATATGTCTAAGAATACTAATGAAAAAATGCTTTTGGAAAAAAGAAAAGAAAAACAGAAAGCAAAAGAAACAGCTGTCCTTCTATCATGATTTGGCTACACAAAAGTGGAGACCGTGACTTTTAAGATGATTTCAGTTGCTTCTTATGAAATAAATACTGATAAAATGGACCACAGAATATGTAGATATCAATTGATATGAGTTATTTGGATCTCAAGTTTAACTTCAGATAAATGTTCAGAGAGATAACTTGGTTTGAACAGGAATATCTTAAAGGATACACATAATCTTCTGCTCAAAATTAAAAGAAAAAGACTATAAGTATTGTGAGATTTTGTTACTTTTTTCTCAATTAACACACATACCAAGCACATTTGCATGAAGAGACGAATAGGTGACTTAACAATCAAACAGTACTTAATCAATTAAAAGCAAAAAGCAAGAAAGAGATCCGTGAAAGATATAAACATAAAAAATGAATGTATACAGTTTGCATGATATATATGTGCTCTAATTAATTGAATAAAATAATAAATGATGAATGAATGAATAAGATGAGAAAGGAAGGAACTAACCATTTGGGCAAATTGGCGGAGAAGAAAAGGGCTGGGGAGTATGAAGAAAGCGATTGAAGTAAGCGATGGTTTCTTGCTTCTGCTTCTGTCTCTGCCTAGCTTTGTGATTCTGAAACCAGTAGAAGACATTCTTTCCTTCGATGTGACCATACACCCTAAGCCTAGCAGTTATCTGCTGTATCTCCTCAGCACTGGGAGTCTTTATTCCCTGCTTATACAGGTTCTCTAGCATGCTTATTTGCTCTTTTGTAGGGTTCCACCGTGAGCTCGCTGCAACCCCATTAGACCCTCCCATCTCCAACTCCTCGTTTCCACTCTCCATCTTAATTTCTTGCTGTCTTCACCTTCACGGTAATAATAATAATAATATCAACCAATGCTAATGGGGTTTTGGGGGTAGTTTAGTTGGAGTAATTAAAGGGTTGTTTTGATTTGATTATTAGAACTCCACTACTTAATTACTAGCACTCTACACCACTCAGTGCATTCTCATGGCTTGCGAAGCACTCTTTTTATAGAGTAGGTAGGGAGAAGCAAAATGGTTGAGAGTTGAGAGAGAGGTTTAACATGCGTATTGTTTTTGGTGCAGAACATCTCTGAAAACATGGCGGTTAGCGGCACAGAGAGAGGCTTAGGTTTCGTCGTCTTCGTTCCAAGACGTGTAGAATTTTTATGAGAAGACAATAATTGCCCAAATGGCCCCCCATGGTGCCATTGATTTTGGTGCATATAGTAGATTTAACGACGCTGTTTAAGATTAACGTTGATTTCTACTACTACTACCTCTCTCTCTCTTTCCTAAGCCCATAATGTCTTGTATCTCGGGAATGACAGATAGATGGACAGAGAGAAAAAGAGAGAAGAACGTAGGTTACACCATTGAAGGAAAGGAAGGGCATAAAAGTCATTGAGGGAAAAAGACAGCCGGTTGGGTTGTAAGGTGTAGGTGAAGGCTAGGCTTTGGGAATTGAAGTGAGAGCAGATAGGCTCAGAGGAGAGAGATGAATGAATGAATGAGGTTGAAACGTCTAGCTAGCTAGGCTCACTCAGAACGAGTATGAAGGTGACTGTAAAACTGTGAACTTCCAATGTTTTAGTGGTCACAATATTACTACATGATCTTAATTATTACTATTATTTCAAAACCATTGTTTGCCACTGTGTGTTCTCATGGCTTTTTTTGTCTGCTAGAGTGGCCCAATTGGACCACCTTTCTCCCCGTTTCAATTCCTAACATGCCCCAGCAGTTGTGGTCCAATTTCATCTACATTCTTTCTTTTTTTCTCCAGTGTCATGCAATTGGCATGATTATGATTACGACCCTCCAAGAGGAAAAAAAAATGTCATGCATAGGACTAACGTATGGCATAGCAGTTAAATATTAATTTACATTGGGTTGTCAAGTAAAACAGTTCTGGCGTGACAAGTTTTTTGTCATGTTGCATGTACCAGCTAGGAGTAATAGTGGTTGATTAGCTGTTAATGTGTTTGATTTCACTGTAACAACACATTCAACGTGATTACAGTGGGCACAGCATTGCTTTCCTTCAGCACAGTTCCTTTTTCCCAATTACTACTTTATATGTGGGGAAATAGAACTAGCTAGTGGAGTAAAACTCAAAGTACTCGTACAGCGTCGAAAAATAACCTGAAACTAGTGCAAAAGAAACATGGAGTGGGTTAACCTTCTAACATGCCAACATGTATATGTAGCCTTTCTCAAACTTTTCAAAAGAAACTCAAACTACTGGCCAGTTCAACTTTGAACTAATACACACAAAGAAACCAATATAAATCACACACTGCTACTAATACTACTAACTTTTTGAAAAAGGGTTCTTTTTAACACCACATTTTTTTCATATAAAAAAATATTAAGGGTTTGGTTGGTTTTAAGTTTTTTTTTTTGTTAAAAATTTTAGTGATCAATGCACGATTTTGATCATTTTCCCATAAGGAAGGTGAGTGACGTTATGTATGTGATAAAAAATTAAAAATAAAAGAGTAAAAAATAAACATCTTAATGAAGTTTACTTGATTTTGTTTTCTTACTTAGTAATTAATTTCAAGAATAAAAAATTTATAATAACTCTAATTTAAAGTTTTGAACAATGGAGGACAGCATGGACAAGGAATCAAAGGAAATATTGAAAGACGACTGATGATGAGGCTAAGTAATAAACACAGCTACTCTCATAGAAAATACTATTGATTGACCTTTTTCTTAGTTTTTAAAATAAAAATTTCAATAAACCAAATATCAAATAAAATTTCAATTTTTTAAAGCTATAAAAAGCAAACACTTTCAAAAAAATAATTTATTTGTAATTTTAATAAATTAAGAATTTTCTAAATTATTTTAATAAAGTAAGTATAACTATAAAAACATTTTTGAGGATTTAGCTTTTAAAATCAACTGATGAGTGATTTGTTAAAATATAATTTAAATTTTTAAATTAAAAATAAAAATGGATATTTTTTTCATTTTTATTAATGTTATTTTGGGTATGTTCTCTCATTAGTTAAAATATACATGATTTTTGTAATCTGGAAATGAAATTCATTAAACAAAAAAAATGTTATTAAATTTAACCAACCTAAATTTCACTGAATAAAAAAATATACTAGAAACGGAGTATCAGAAAGTGATCACGTTAGTAGCATTTTCTTTTAGGAGTTTTACTGTGTGAAAGAAATATCCACGTTTTAGGAATTGATATATTACCCGTACGTCAAAATCAACACAAAAGAGAGTGGGGTTCTTGTCAAAGTTCTGGGATCAGTAGTATCTTTTTTTTATTGAAGTTGATGACGAAAAGTTAGATTTGGAATATTTAAAAATGCTTCTATTATTTCCTTATATTATCACTATTGTCTAAATAATTACACTACCATGGAATGGAATCGTTCTATAATCTCAAAAGGCAAGAGTACCTTGGAAAAGGTGATTGGCGTAAGATTTGGTTTTATATATTTGGTGGAATGTTCTTTTTGCAAGATAAGTAGACACAAAAGTTGAAAACCAAATCCTTAAAAGAAGGAAAACGAAAAGAAGAACACAAGGGTGCAGAGAGAAGATAGATATAAGAATAAAAAAGAGCATGGATGAGAAAGCAGAAAAAGAGGAGAAGAAACGTAGATGTAACCAGATAAACGGTTTGAACATGGAAAGAACGCAATGGGTCGAAAAGGGTGGTGGTGGAAGGTGGTGGTGGCGCATGTGAAGCGAGGAAGATGCGTGCTGAGATAGATTACTGGAATTAAGGTGGCAGTGGGTTTGGCGCATGCAGATAAAGAAAGGATAACGCAAACACCAAGTTGATGGATATTGGTTGGACGTATGTGCCATAAATGTTTCTGCATGCTGCTGCTTCTGCTGCTGCATCCTATGCAGTCAACGAAAATATGTAGGGAGAAAAAGTGGAGCTGATAGGTAAGTGAGTGAGAGTGATCATGCTATTCAATTCTCAATTCAATTACTGCATAATAACTGGCTTTTCTGCTGACTATATTGTTCTTGTACAAGTATGTATATATTTTTTTATCACTGTTCTCTCACTATTCACTTTTGAACTAATCATATATACTCACCTTTTTCTTCTTTTTAATGCAGTGTGTAAGGTTCCAGAAATATTATTAGTAACAAATCTATTCCATATTTTTTACTATGAATAACATTAAAGAGTTATCCTCTCTTCTTTTTTTTCCATATGGTAGGAGTATCTTATACTCCTTAATTTTCCATCGAAAGAAATTAATTATATTTTATCACTAAATTCTAATCATTTTCTGAATTTTTTCTAAGGTTGTTTTTTAATTTTAATATCAAACTTTTCACTTTTTTTTCCTTCATATTTTATCACTATGTTGAGTTTTTCTTTTTTTTACCATGTGTCAAAAGATTAAAAAAATTAAATAAAAATGAAAGGGCATTTTTTGTAAAACAATATATTATTTTGATTTTTTTTCTATGACATATTACTATCCCATTAAATAAGGAAAAGATGAATAAAAATTATAAGTTTTGATGATAAAATTTGTGGAATGATAAACTGTACAATTAAGATATAAAATTATATCAGGCAGATTTTTTTTTTGGGGGAAATATTTAGTGTAACTATAAATTCAAAAGAGTCGGATTCGAAATACTAGTCAATAATTAAATTTCACAATTTTCAAAATTATTAGTTTGATGAAAATCATATTAGAAAATTATTTGAGTAGGAGTGAGAAGAAATACTTCCATTATCATAAAATATATTATTAATATTCCATTAATAATATTTAAAATAATTATTAAAAAGGATTATATGTTGTGTTGTTGCAAGTTTTATTTTTGAAATGGAAGATAGAGATATGATTGTGGAATTATTTAGTTCGATGATATGATAGGGATTTGGTTATTGGGGTGTGTGGTGATGTGCAGAGAGAGAGAGAGAGTGAGAGAGGAAGGTGGTGAGAAGAAGAGTACGCCTCGTGAAATGCGGAGCGCAGAGGCAGAGGCGGAGGCGGAGGGAATTCAAGCACCAATCCCTTCGCCTTCAGTCCACGGAATTCGATGCAAATTGGTGAAACCATGCATCTTCACCTCTCAAATTATATATATATATATATATATATATATATATATATATATATATATATATATATATATATATATATATAACACTATTATTATAATATTAATAATAATAGTTTTATATTATTGTAGTTTTATTCTGATAAAGTTATTTAAAAGCTATATTTATTACTTATAAGAGGATTTCTTTTATCGGTGTGATAAAAAGAAAAAAATATTAAGTATAATAAATAAATAAATATAAGATGATGAACAGAGAAAAAAGTTATATATATTTAACATAAATAAATTTATGAAAATAATAAAAAAATAAAGATAAAAATTTGTAAAAATGAATAGTAAAAAAAAAAGTTAGCTACTCAAATTATCTATATGACAAATAAATTTAGATATCTCAGGTTAACGATAATATATTTTTATGATAATAAAATTCATTCAAATAATTTTTATGATGGAAATATTTTAGCTTAACATGTAATCACCCTTGAATTCATTAATGAAAAAATGATATTTCATTAGTTGTACGATTATTGTAAAATGTAAAAAATAAAGAAAATTACAGAGAAACATTTTATGTTAATTATTTTTATAACTAATATACAAAGTTAGTCTTTAATATATATATATATATATATATATATATATATATATATGTATATATATTATCACCTTTTATTATTATTATTATTTTTTCTTTAAAACGAACACAACAATAAAAATAATTTAACTCAGACTAATTTTAT